AGAGACGAAACGTTTCTACATTTTTTGTTGTTTTGCTTTGTTTTGGGTTTTTTTTAATGTCCAGAGGACCAGATTTAACTTTTTTAAACTAAATATGTAGTTTAAACAAATTTTTACACCTAAGATTTATCTGTTATGAAACAAATGTTTTTGCTTTAAGTGTTAAAACTTGTGCTTTGTGCCTCTCAAACTTGTGTTTTTACATGTTTTTTGTGTGTTTAACCCACAGAGTGACTCATACCATCTGCCTGTTTTTGTCATCCTGTGTGCTGCTGGAATCACTTTGTGCCTCATCACCTCCCTCTCTGTGGAGTTTCTGGGTCTTTCTGCAGCCACCAACCTGCATCACAACCTGCTTAACAAGATCATTCACGCTCCCATCAGGTAAAAACAATATATTTTTAACAATACTCTTATGGCTAATGATTTTGGTTAACATGTGGTTCTTGTCCTGTTTGATCTAACCACTGCTTCTGGTAAAGTGGACCACATAATTTTAGTTATGTTTACAGCACCAAGTTGGTATTTTTGATTCTGCTCAAAGCTGGTACAGGTCATTTATGGCAGACAGAGCCATGTTTTTCAATATAGCTGGTTCTGAATGCTCCTTTGTCTTTTGGGGTTTCACAGGGCTCTCTCTGAGGTCCCCTGCTTTTCTTCCTTTACCTGCTCCTGTTGCGTTCTATACTAAGGAAGCATGGGATCGTTTTACATTGCTATGCTGATGATACTCAGATGTATTTGCCATTAAAAAATGACAAAAGGTGCCCTCTCATTTAGGCCACTTCTGATGTGTCTTGAAGACATCAAAGTCTGGATGCCAAATTTTAATGAAAGGAAAACAGAAGCCATGATGTTTAGTCCAGGTGCCTTCTGTGAATCTTCCTTGTTTGTTTTAATCTACCTAATGTTACTTTTTAAATTTTATGCAAGAGCATCACATAAGATAATGTAATGATTGCAATGAGTGGCACAAGGTATAAATGGCAACTCTGCTCTTGACATCACAATTTGCAGGAGCCATGAGTCCCATGCCAAAATAACCTCGTCTTGACAAGACAAACTGGAAAGATGACCACTGCATCTCGTATTTCACGCAAAAGTACAACAACTGTGAAAAAATATTGTGGCTGCACAGTCCTCAGTACATGCTGAAGGTACCGACAGAACCACATCTGCAAAACCACACATTCTCCTTTCCATGACTACACCTTGAGATGTTGTACATGAACACTGCAAATAGGATTGGATAGAAGGAGCAACCTGACAGAGTCCAGCTCTAACAGTGGTTTATACAGTGACTGAATAGCCCTTAAGTGACCCCAGCACCCATGATCCTACAACACCTCCCACAGAATGCCTCGGAGAACACAGTCTCCTCCAGATCCACAAAACACATGTGGACTGGACAGTCAAACTCCCATGACCCCATCAGCAGCTCGACATGGGTGAAGATCTGGTCCGCTGTTCCGCGACCCATAAAAAAAAGCCACACTGCTTCTCCTGACGCCAAGCAAGTCAACATTTTGACTAGCATAATTTAGTTTAGCTTGTTTTAATTTTCTTTTTTACATTTTGTTTGTTTCTATATTTGTTTATTGTGCCTGTAAAAGTTTTTTTTATATTCTTTATTTAAAAGTACATTTGGAAAACTTCTTGAGTGACGCCTTCCACACAGAAGACTTTTAAAAGACTGAAACTGCAGATCTTCAGTCATATTTATTGAGATTTTGAAAAAATGAGGGATATTAGAGAATTGTAAAGTGTCACAAATGAACCACAGTAGATTAAATGGCTATTATTTTTCTTGGCCGAGGGGATGGTCATGTTACGTTGTGTTTCCGTCAATGGCTCAGTGCGAGATGTTTTTCCAAAATCTGTTATATTTTATATAACCCAACTTTCATAATCCCTCAGGTTTTTTGATGTCACTCCTTTGGGGCAGATTCTTAACAGATTTTCTGCTGATACCAACATCATTGATCAGGTAAAAGAATAAAAGTATCTTTTATAATGTATTTTGGAGGGCTAGTTGTGATTTTATTTGTAAAAATTACATTTTCACCCTTGGAAGACCTTATAGGGAAAAATAAGTCACATTTAGTACTGTCTATTTTTATTTATTTATTTTGGTGTGGTCAATAAAAACATTTTTTTTCTGACAAAGCTTAAAAATCGTTCTAATTTTTAAAAATTTTGTCAGAAGTTTTTTAAAACGCTCTCATAACCTTACATCTTTAGTATATTTGTGTTCCTTAGGCTAAAAATCGATCATAGGGGAAATCCATTAAAAACAATTTTTTTTAATCCCATTTTTATTATATCCAAATGCATTTATGTCAGTAGTTCATTTATCTTTTTCACCTCTATCCCTATACTTTTCAAATTTAAATTAGCTCAATAGGTTGCGCCACACTTTTTACAATTGAAAGAATATTTCACTCACTGTGGAAGAGATGCCTTATTTTCATCTGGACTTGCTGCAGAGTCCCACCTCTCGTCTCGTCTGACAACATTGTTATAGTTTGGATGTAAAGAACAAAAACACACGTGCATGTTGCACAAGTAAACGTTTCGTACAAAAAAACATATATTCCACATGCATACAGGCTGCAGAATCAGATGCTCCACAGCTCAGAACGGCTGACTCTTATTGGTTGCCCCCAAAGCAGGACGTCATTAGCGGGGGCAATGTGCTGCAGCAGCTGGTAGTATCAAAAAGTTCATCTTTAATAGATGATAGATTCAGGACTCACAATTTAAACGATTTCAAGTATTTATTTGTTTATTTTTACATAATATGGGCTTCCAGCTCATGAAACCCACGAAAACAGGATTTCAAAAAAATTAGAATACTGTGACGACATCAGCCCACACTACTTCTCAGTTTTTGCAGAAAAAAGAAATAAATTAGGATCACAACAAATCAATCAAAAAATGGTATTTTCAAAACGATATGTCAATCTTCAATACTTGGTTGTGAATCCCTTTGTCTTAGTCACTGCCTCGATGTGACGTGGCATTGAGACAATCGGTCTGTGGCATTGACTGGGAGTTATGGAAGCCCAGATTTCCTTGATGCTTGCTGTCAGCTCATCTTTGTTGTTGGGTCTGGTGCCCCTCATTGTCCTCTTGACAATACTCCACAGATTCTCAATGGGGCTGAGCTGGGGTCGGATGAAGGGTGCCATTCTTGGTCAAAATACACCTCGCTGTGATCTCACCCCGAGCATTAAATGCTCTCAACTTCTCAGGAAGATTCCTTCTAAGGAAGCTTATTCTGTTGAACGGAGTATCTGGGCACCCTTCATCCGACCCCAGCTCAGCCCCGGTACACTCGGTGCGTGACGACTCGTGACGACTCGTTACCTGAGCAGAAGATAAATCTGCTCCGGAACAGAGGTCCATTTCCACACTACCTTTCAGCGCCTCCGGTCAGAGTGGCTGAGAATCGTCCGAAGTAGTAACCAGATACTCCGTTCAACAGAATAAGCTTCCTTAGAAGGAATCTTCCTTAGAAGTTGAGAGCATTTAATGCTCAGGGTGAGATCACAGCGAGGCGTTCTGTGACTCCGCTGAAATGGACGGACCCTTGGCTCATGGTCCAAAATCCATCAGCTATTAGAGTAGAGACTGTTAGACCTTAGTCTCATGTTAGTCTGAAAGTTCCATTAAGACTGAAAGTTCCAGTAAGTGTTTACTTTTAAAGGGTATCCACTTCCTGTTACTTGGTACTTCCTGATTGGTTAACACAACCAGCAGGGGGGTGGTTCTAGTGATGTCAAGAGGGTCACTAGAAGTCAAGAGACATCAGGAATGTTTACGAACGGTTAGTACAGACGGAGAAATGTTTATGAAGAGGTGAGACAAAGCAGGTGCCAGTTGAAGTTATTTACTGTCTGCTAGTTTTAAAAACAAGACACTTCGTTCTAATAACTCGTCTCTGTTTGTCTCTGACTTTCGACCGACATCACTAAATGCACACTTACTTAATAAATAGACATTTAACTGTATGATCAAAAATCTGCTAAGGTTTAAAAATCATTAATACTGTTTCACAGTTGATTTAAATGAGTGGTTTACTTCAACATTAGAAATGGTATGAACTGAACACACTTTTGATTATCAAGATATTGTAAAATAGTAATGATAATATAAAAAAAGAAGAGTGTTCTTTCAATTGATTAATTCAGGATACAACTAAATAGTCTCTTGATGAGATAATTTGTGTTCTGGATTCAAATCAATGAAATAACAGTTCCTGTTCCCTGAAGGTCTTCAGAGACAGATTGATGTAGGAGGTCTAGTTCACTACAGTTTCATGAGCTGGAAGACCAAATTATGTAAAAATAAACAAATAAATACTTGAAATTGTTTATTTTGTGGGTCCTGAATCTATCATCTATTAAAGATTAACTTTTGAATGGAATTATGGCAGTTAAACAACTTTTCCATGATATTCTAATTTTTTGGAAAAGGTCTGTAT